GGCCAAGAACTTTGCTTTATTATAAAGATAATAGTTTGTCATTATGATTTTAAACTGATTTCGGGCAAGTGACCGCCGCATCCAAAAAAATAACCATTGTTAATTAAATACCAAAAGATTTAGTAAAAACTACAAAATTCCAAACAGTATTAGTGGAGATAAAAATAGTTAAGATCAACGCTTTTTTTTTTTTTGAAAAATTCTTAGAACTAAGTCGCAATTGAAATAGGTTATATAAAAATACAAGAAATATGAAAAATAACCAAGAACTTTATATTCAGAAAAAGTACCGTAACTTCTGAGTTGCAAAATTTTTTCTTCTAATTCTTTCTCAAACCCAAATAATAAACGCTGTGATGCGCTGTCGTTGACATTTAATCCGCTGTAAGCCAGAGCTGAGCTGAGAGAAACGCCAGTGAACACGAAAACACGTACGGATTAACCTATATTTCGTGAAGAGTATTAGAACAAATGCTGTTATATCATGTTATAGCTTTTTTGTTGCTTTGATACACAACATACGTAACAAGAATTGTTTGGATTTATGATTTTCTTTATCGACAAAACAAGAAAAAGCTTTCAAGAAACAATAAGAAAAGGAAATTGTAGACAAAAATTTCTATGAAATATGGAGATGTGTGATTATGTAGTCGAGATATGCATATATAATTTTTTTTTTTTTTTATATTCTTTATTAATATTATATATATATAGAAAGTCTCAAATCTCGAGACTAACTGTGCCAATATTAGTTAAATATCTGCTTAATTAGTAAGAAGTAATCAAAAAAGCATTAGCAAGCAATTTTTATTATCTGCATGAATTCTATAATTCTACTTGGTTTATCAATCATTTTAATTTAACATCTTGCCACGTTCATTTCTTTACTGAGCAGCTATAAATCTAATTTGCCAACAATTAAGTTTATGTTGTGATTTCGGCATTAGCAGCGGAATTTTACTGACCCAATTACCATTCCACGGCCGCATTTTGCTGATGATACTCGTCTGTGCATATGTAAGTATTTAATTGCATATATCATGCTACATGAGGCAGATCAACATTAATACGGCAAATATGTATAGAAAGACTTTAAGAATGTGCATTTACTGAACTTAAGAGAACAAATGTGCAAACAAATATGTTGGCAGGCTGAAAATATTTCAACTGCAAATATGCTAAATGCAGAGTTGTAGCTGTTGCTGCTTGGTCACGTGATTAAAATGATATGTTAGAATGTATTCAAGCAATTAAGGCAAATGAAATGTGGAGAAAGAAATTGTGAAGCATTTTGTTGGTAATTATAATTTTATAGGTCAGTTGACTCAAATTATATGGATTTTAGCATATTTTCAAGTGAATGTGTAGTATACATGTGTATATATATTTATCGTACGAATTGCAAAACGGTAAATTGTGATTATGTAATTAAGTATTTGAGCATGAACTGGAAGTAGTGTTCGCATGCACAATTGTAATAATATTAAAGATGTTTTTCTAAGTCAATTAGATATAATTTTGTATAAAAATTATTTTTGTGCCAAGAGGCGGATGAGGTTTGTGAAATTTGAACTTACTTGATTCAAAGTCAAGTGATTTAGTTTTTTTTTTTGGCACACTAATAATTCATTTATATACGACGTGTGTACAAAGGAAAAGATAAATTTATTCTTCCCTTATTTATTCTTCAATATCTACTTTGTCTCCTTCAAAGTATAATACACTTGTGTCAATGCTTTTTTCAATCCTCGAAGCACTTCTTCTTTTGCTCAAAATTTAGCAATTTCGGAGAAAACTACGCTACCACACGTTTCATACCCAAAACATTCGAGAAAGTTGAATATGAAATATATTGAATCAATAAATTTTGTTGAAATCACACACCACATTTTAAGATTCTGCAGCTGCGGAATTTGAATAGCTAACAACTAGTGATTTTCAGTAGTGAAAAATTTATGTTTTATAATTTCAATCAGATGGCAAGCTCCTAAAACTAACTTGGAGTTAGAATACCTTTCTAAGGATAGTGCTACCTATATTTAATTTTTTTTTTTTTGGAAAAAGAAGCAAATTACGAAGAGAAGGGTGGCAATTCTAAGTCAATTGATGCAAAGCTTCATTCTTTTAGAACATTTTTAACTTTTTTAACTAAATTTTTACTAACTGTAAACCAAATTTCTTGAAATAAATTTTTTTTTTTATTATTTTTATTTTAATTCATTTGGCGAGGTTTTGAGGTAATCTTTGTATTAGAAAAAATTTTATGCTATTGTTTCAGACTCTAATTGAACTTTTTTCGATATAAAGCGGCGATGAAAATAACAAAGGGTGACCACACTGAGCCAATGTTTAATTTACTTAATTATTTTAGCGAATTTTAAATTTTTTTTGTAACATTTATTTTCAATTGAAAGCTCAGACGATGATAATACTGTGGAAAGTTATGTTTGCACTTTTTTAACTATTAAAAAATGGGTTTAACTTTTAAAAGGCAACCCTGTCTCAATTTAGAGATAAATCTTATCCTCTCAACATATGTATTTATTTGCTACAGGTATTATAACAATAGTAAAATTTAAGTGTAATAAAAAAAATATAACAAAGGTGGCATCTCTATAAACATTTTTTTACTCAAGGTTGTGAAAATGCTTTGCCTGGAGAACAGCTACATATGTCAATAGTAGAATTTAAGTATTATTTCAAAAAAAAATCAGGTCGAGGTGGCATCTCAAAAAAATTGTTTACTGAAGATTGTTAAAATACTTTGTCTAGTATACATATTTTGGTAATTTTTCTGTTAGTGTGACAAACTTAGTTTTTTATCTAAATTTATATGGCAACCTCTTATAAAACTTTTTGATTTTATTTTTCAGAAACTAAATTTTGCACTAAATATAAAAAAACGCACAGACTTAGTTTTACTTTCCTTCACAGAAATTTGTTACTTATTTCCTACAGTAATATGGATAAGTACTTAAATATATAAAAATCTAATAAAATTGTCATCCACATAACTAAACGAAATTAAATTTAACTTCCCAAATTGTTAAAACCAATAATAATATTACAAAAAAGCCTCAAAACTTTTAATAACGATTGTATTCAACGCTTTTCATTTTGTAATATTTTCGCGAATTCTAGCTTTATATAGTATAGTATTTTATTTTAAATGCCATCACAACAATAAAAACCAGTCTAAATAAGTAATTTAGATATTAATAAATTTTTTGAAAAATACCTTTGAATTACATTTATTACTACATACATATGTATATAATAACAACAACTTTTTTCTGAACTTCGAAATTATAAGTGTGAAAAATATATTATATACGACATAATAGCTTTCGAATTGCGCTCTCATAACTTAAAAGCAGTTTCATAATATCGAGCATTACTTTCTTAAAGGTACCGCAACAACAATCACAGCAAGTTCGTTGCTTAAGTCTTTTATTTTTACTGAAAAAATACCCATATACTCATGAACATATGTATGTATGTATATGAAGAAATAAGAAAGAATTGTGGAGAATTACATCACAAGCATACAATGAGGCTTATTATTAACGATATTTCTTCAAATGACACAGATTTATTGCGCACACACATACAGAAGCACATAAGTGTGTAAGCAGCAGTCAAGCGCTTACCGCAAGCCAAGAATAAGTCAAACAGTTTACCGTTCGAATGCCAACCAAATGCAAAAAAAGACGAAAAAAGTTCTTACTTATCGAATCGCGCTGGAACAACTCAATTTGTTGCCAATTGCAAACAACAATACTTGGAAGTCCACGCCAATCTGTTGCATGCCGCGCTGACTCTTCCACATTTGGTTGCTGTTCATAAACGCCGCAGTGTGTCACGATATTTTCATGTTTTGCGTGTCTATAACGAATTATGTCAATTTGTATATGTGGAGATGTTATAATATGGGTACATATAAATATATATACACATATGCATGTGTATAATTTGTGTGTGGCAACAGAAGAGTTCTTTTCAAAACAGTTACAACAAATATATTAAAAGTAGCGAAATGAAAGCAATGAAAACCATTTACACTTTAACATCATAATTATAGTGCTCGCAATTATAAAAAATAACGTACATACACATTAACACATACATATGAGCAACAACACTCACGCATGCGCACGAATTACACACACTCGTACGCTAGACCAGTAAGAACGCCAGCGAATTTATTCACACAGCAATCAATAAACTATATTTGCGGCAACAACAAAAACAATCACATAAATTGCTATGTGTTTGCTGTACTGCCCAATATGATATTCAATCGCTGGTCGCTCCTTTCGTCACGCTTTTGTGCCTGTCATTCTCGACTTAGCTTGCGCACTGTTGATTGTTTGGTGAATTTTTTAGTTGATTTTTCCGCTCTTTCTTTGATTTCTTCGTTCATTTTCACTTATACTAACGGTTAACAGCTTATATACACAGCTAACGGTTTACGAGCCGAACTCAAATTGGCGTTGAAATTTAAGGCGTCGGAGCTGTAGCGCGAAGCAACGGAAATTGTGTAGTCGCAAATTAAAAGACAACAACAAAAAATATGGAAAATGTAAATATGAGCATGGTACAAATATAGCAACAACAAGAAGTGTTGGCACATTGTGTGCGTATATTTGCACGGACATTTGTATTTGTTTAGAAAAAAGTGGGTTATATTTGGATTTAGACAAAAACAAAAATAGCAATGACAACAAAAAATGTAAATAAGCGGTCAAAGCGATTCACCGTTAATAAAATAATTTGCATTTAAAAATGTGTGCTATTGAGGCTCAATAAAGTTCACTACTGTATGGTTAACATTTTTAATTTTTATTGATATTAAAAAATTTTATTTTATTATTTTTTTCCATATAATTTTTTATAAGTTAAATTATTTCTTTCTCAATGACATTTTTTTTTTATAGAGTCCAAATAATTATGCTATATAAAATATGTTTGAATAAACTTTTTCACTTTGTATTTTGCAGTTCAATCTGGTCGAAATATTCGACATTTACCCTGCATTGTACGAAAGTCTGGACGCTCGGGTGTTTGTATGTTCGCTATTGATTGTATTAAACAGAATGGCACACATTTAGGCACGTGCATAGATCGCTTCTATTTTGGTTCATGTTGTCAGCTGAAGGTGAGTGTAATAGTATAAAAATATTAAGTATATATATCGATAAAACCAAATTATACTAATATTAACAGACGTGATAAATAAAAAAAAAATATTAGCATTCATTATCATGGGCCACACAAGCGTATCATCACTTTAAATATCAAACTTAAGAAAATACTTAAGAACTTAACAAAATACTTTAGAGCTTAATGAAATTCTTAATGTCTTAACAAACGTCACACAAGCTTATCATGACTTTAAATTTATTAGACTTAGGAAAATACTTAAGAACTTAACAAAATACTTTAGAACTTAATAAAATTCTTAATGACTTTACAAAATACTAAAGAACATTTTGAAATACTTAAGAACTTAATAAAATACTTCAACCTTTAATAAATACTTAACAAAATACTTAAGAATTTCACTAAATACTTACCCCCACCCGCGCCATAATACCCTTTAAAAATAAAATAGTTTTCCATACGAGAACTTGATTTTTATCGATCATAATCGGCCGATATTGGTGATTCCGTCAAGTAGCTTCTGGGTAAGAGCAAGATGTGTACAAAATTTTAAATCGATATCTAAAAAACTGAGGGACTAGTACGTGTATATAAGTATATAAGCAGAGATATCAAATTCAGATACTTCCTTTTCGTGCAGACGAAGGCAGCTTTAAAATCGATGAAAACGTCGTATGTATCGATTTTTTTTCTAGAGTCTTTGTTAATATTTGGAGCATAGTGAATGTCTGGTCAGTGGTTGATTTACTAGGCCTAAAACCACACCGATAAGGTTCACTGTATTGCTCGATAGGATCTTATATGCGATAATTGGTGCAGACTGAGGGGTCCCCTTGTTATGGATTAGACTGAGCAGACTTAGGTTCCAATCGTCAGGCATGATTTTATCCGACCATATTCGGCAAATAATCTGATGCATGCATCTTGCAGTTCGTCATTGTCGTATTTGAATAGCTCGCTTTTCAAGCTGTTCATACTCTCGAATTTCTTCCTCTTTCTGTTTTCGTGTGCAAATGCGTTTCGCTTCCCTCTTCAGCTTACCGTATCTACCTCACTCCGAACGTGTCGTAGTCGATCGTAAAGTTACGAAGTAGGCAGTTTGCTTCTCTCCTCTGGCAATCCTAAAACCCAATTATTTCTGCAGCATCGGTTCATAGTGAGCATAATATGACGTTGCGCAGTTCTCAGAGAACAGGAGTGCAAGTCGAGTAGAAAACTGATCGGCTGTCTGTTGTGATTTCAGCTTTTCGTCACCGACTCTTCCTTGTGTATGTTGACAGATCTTTTCTGCTGCAAAGGGAAGGATGCGTAACTTCGCTGCAACAAATAATTGACCGGAGTAGATATTTGGTACTCTGAATTATAACATGATATATTTGGTTACGCGATTTGAATTCCTGAGGCACCCATGTAACTTGATAAATTTTCTTGTGTCGGAATCTAGCACTACTGACAAGCGAACAGCAAAGTCGATCAGCCTCAGCTCATTTGGGGATGTTTCGTTATGGAGGCTGAATTTTCCAACAAGCTAAAAGAACTTCTTTACCTAACCTAGCGCTGAAATCGCCAAGCACGATTTTGATAAAGTTCAATTATTGTAGCGATTATCTAATCTCCGTTTAGGTGGCAAGGTTCAGGTTGATTGTCTTCGAAGTCACCTAAAGGTAGGCCCAGGAAACTTGTTGTTTCGACGGGGTTGCAAAGAAGTGGTTAGTGTCACTCTAGAAGTCTGCAAAGGGTGGAGATAGTTGGTGTGAATGGCGGTCAGTCTGAAGTTTGTTGCGTCCGATGTCTGGTCGCTGTACTGTTCAATATCGTCGACATAGTAAAGGAAAGAGCTCTAAATGTTCCTGGGAGGCGGTTCCGCTTCAAGCAGGCGACTGCGGTTTTGCGAAAATATCCTAGCATCCTCCTATGTTCCTTAACCGGAAGCTTACGGGTCTCGCTGTGTAGGTGTTCGACCGGAGACATCAAGTGGCATCCCGTGATTATCTGGAGTGCAGTGTTCTGACATGCCTGAAGCTTTTTCGTGTTTAAGACCGCCCGGCTGATGTCCTGTATGTTGCCCACAAGGTTTCTTTGTTTTGTTCTCATGAGTTGCCGTCAAGCGACTAGAGGATTTTGTTGTGCCTCTATATTTTCACAGTTATTGCGGTCATGTGAGGAGTGAAAGGGCACATGCTGTCAAAAGTTACATCAAATATCTTAAGGTTATTGACCGTCGAAATTCGAATGCCATCGACTGTAATGTTAAGAAGACATCAGCTACAGTGGCATGGTCATGTCATCCGTTTGGACGAAAAATTTCCTTATGAATAGGCAACTTAGGGAAAACTTAATAAAAAGTTAGATTATAGTTTGATTAAATACATTTTAAGTAAGCAATAATATATATACTCCTTATTGAAACAAATTTCATGGTACTAGGGTTTAATATATAGCATTCGAAGAATTCAAATTAACATAAGGAATGTTTAAGGAAAACGTAAGCACTTAGCATAGTACTTAAGTAAGAAAGTTACTATTTTTCCAATATCTGAATAAACAACGTAAAAACTTATGATACAATTATGTTATACTTACGTACTTAAGTAATTATATTAAGTTCCAAATGTTTCGAGAACAACCTTTCGGATTCTTTTCAACTCTTCACATGGTTCTAATTTTTTACTATATAAAGTTATGTGTAGAAAAGTTTATATTTTAAAAGATACCGTTATTTATTTTTATTTTTTATCTTTGATGTTTCCTCCAGGATGACGCAACACTTTTCGCGCCCGAAATCAGTGACAATAGCATCGACCAAAATACGATTTCACATTTTCCCCACGAGTCGACTACACTGCCCACGAGCACACTGTTCAAACTCACCACTACCGGTCCACACCACACAGTACAAAGTAGCAGCAACAGTATTAGCGAAACGGTGAGGAATGTAACGCAAAGCTATTTACAACAGAACAGTCACCTTCACGGCGCTAATGGCAGTAGTAGCAACATTAAGGGAGATACAACACCCATCACAAACACGAACAGTCCAAAACCAGTTAGGGTGACCACAACAACTGCACCGAAACGTCCACCAGTGCATACAACACACAAAACGTCACAATTTGTAGTGCGTACTACAGCCAAACCAACTGTTGCACCAACAACAATAAAGCCACCACGACGCAAAACTACAGTTGCGCGACCTGTTCTCACCACCACCTCAAGCACACAACTAGATACACTAGTGGAGGTCAGCACACAGCCACCGAAATTCTTCACCTTTCAGATTGTAGAGACCACTACGCCCTCGGCTACGGAGGGTAATATCAAGTTAGATGAAGTGGCCACCACACAACGGCCGGTGCACACTACGAATCGCTATCGACCACGTCCGACAACTACCGAAGTGCCTACACAGTTTGTAACTACCACACTTAAGCCATCTGACCCGGTACGATTTACCACAAGACCCAGACCCTTGATTAACCGACGACCCACGACTAGTCGTAAACCGACGCAGACAAAGCCACGTCCATTGTCAAGCGCTAAGCCCACGAGGCGGCCAGTGGATGCCGACGCCAACGAAGCGGTGAAACCAATTTTACTCAATGTTACCACAACAACTGGCAGCGGCGCCGTGGCAACAACGCATCGTCGTCCAACACCGACACCGGCTACAACCATAAGCAGTGATGAGTTACCGACCACGGTCCAAGAAGCTAAAGTGCCACAGTCAGCCGAGTCGGTATCACAAACGACACTTGCGCCAAGACCACGACCTCAGCCAACAGCAGAGATTGTGAAGGTGCCCAAGCCAACTGCCGACGGTGGCCCTACAACGGTATCACCGGCACCAACTACTTCTACAACTACAACTGCTGCGCCCACAACAACAAGAGCTGCAACAAAGCGTCCAAGTAGCACACATACAACAACACGCACGAAACCAACAACGCCTAGCACCACCACAACCACCCCTACACCAAGAACAACTACAACGCAGAAAGCAACCACGCCAAAGCCAACAACGTCGAAACCGTATAGAACCACTACAACTACGACGACGACAACCACCACAACTACAAAAGCACCCATCAGCAGCACCACACCAAAATCACCGACATTGACCACAGAGTATTCTAAAGTAGAGGCGCCAGCGCTTGAGCTAACAACAACAACGCCTGGTTTGATAACATGGACGAATGTGGACAATGAGCCGACGACTATTAATGCAACTATCGAGTGGGGTCCACCACCAACTGCCCTCACGCCAGATATTAGTAACAAAACAACAGATTCACCAGTCATCACAAATGCCACAGGTAGGTTTGAGAAGTGACGAATATATAATCCCAAACTAAATTCCTTACTGAATATCTGAAATTAATTGTTTTTATTGGTAGTTTTCACCACATCATCGCCACCCATCACCAGCACCATGATATCCGTTTCAACCAGTATTAGTGAAATTATGAACAACATAACCTCAATTATGCCCAAACCAGAGCGTCCATCATCGGTGATGAGCACACGACCACCCAAACCGAAGCCCACCAAAACTACGGAGAGTCCCGCGCCGAGCACGACGACTACACAAAGTAGTACGAGCACCTCCACAACCACGTCTACAACAACAACAGCGAAACCGACACCGAAACCCACAATCCCGTCAACAACAAGCACCACAACAACCACCACAACCACTTCCACCACAACAACAACAACTGAGGCACCTATCGAATTGGTGGAGGAATCATCAACAACCAGCGCCGAGCAAAGCACAGAAGGTTTCTCAACCACCGGCAGTGGTATCTTTGGCACCACCGATTACAGCACCGAGGATTTTAATACCACATTGTCGTCTTCGACATCGGCGCCGGTGAATTCGCTGGAGGGTATGGATTACAGACAAAGTGAGTAATTTATGAAGACTTTAATAATATAATTCTACAGTATTATGAGAAAACCCATTTTCCATAGTTATTGGGGGACTAGCTATAAACCTGTTAATGCTACCATATCTAATAAAATGAGGGATGACCTTTTTTAAAAGGAAATTTAGCTCACACATTTGTTGTAAAAGTATCCACTAACTGATTTCATTATACTATGACACGTTCTACGAAACACAGGGTTTTTAGAATCCTGTTGTAGTGCGTCATCAGACATCCACCCTACCTACCAAGGATCTTTCTCAGAGACCGAAAATATAGAAACTCCTATATGTGAGTGCATATCCCTGAAGGCAAGGCATATTAAGAGTATATATATATTATACACCTGAGTAGCAATTTTGAACTAAACTCCACACCTAGGCGACGATGGTATTTACTCAACATAGCTCCACAGACAAAATACTTTATTTATATTGCTCAACAAAGATATATGATAAGTACTTAAGATTTATGGGCTCTGGATCTTTCTGACTGTTTCCTCACACGATCACCAATTTATATAAGACTTAAGAGGAGTAACTTAAGGGACTAACCCTTTTACGGCTACTTTCTATTAAAATATTTTCTAAAAATTTGATTTCTAGTAGCTTTAACATCTGTGGGCCACCTATAAAGAGATAGATATATCTGCACTATATCTTTATTTGATTCTCCATCACTTCAACTGCCAAATTTTATGGTTCATGTCTTTAATTGAGTATAATTACCTTCGATATTGTTAGAGCCATATTCAAACTGAAACATACTATTCTATAATTATTTTTGCTCAAAAATTAATAGTTGTTACAGCAATTTCTGGTTCAAATCCACCAAAAAAAAAAGTTCAACTCCTCAAAGAAATATATTTAATCCGACCAATTATGATTAAACAAGCAAAAGTGACTGCACTTAGTCACGCTTTGGATTCAACAAGGAAATCATTTTGATTTCGCCTGAAAAGCCGCTTACGAAAGTGAAGTAAACGCAAATTTACCGTAAATGACAGTAAAATTAATTTACTCCGTTTTAAATGCGAATAATTCGAGTTGACATTTGAGTGAGTCAAAGAGAGCGACAGGAAATTCGTGCGATGAGTGTGCCTGCGCGAGTTCACTGCGCACTTGAAATTGATAAACACAAAAAACGACACCGAACGACATATAACGCAGACACATACAACCGAGTTATAAGTAATATGTATTATCACGGTATTTTGAAGTGCTTACACTCAGAGGGTCACTGACTCCTTCGTCAGTCTTGATTTTCTACGCCAAATAGAACGGTTTGAAGGTCCACATCAAGGTCGTGCCGAGCAAACGTGCTGCACTTCACTCTATTTACAAGCGATACTTGCAACAGTCATGTGCCACACGAACGCCAGCACATGCTGCAAGAACGCATGATCTTTTTGCATTTTTTGTCTTGTTTTTGTAAAACGTGCGATGTTTTTCTATTTTGATACATTGTTGTTGGCGCTTCCGCTGTGGCCTTTCGCGCACGAAGTTTAGCAGCATGCTTGTACTTTGGTACTTCACCGCCCCAGCGTCACCGTGTTGCAAGAAGTTGCTGCTGCTGTTGGATATGGCAAGGCGCAGTCGATAATGTTGCAATTTTTCCTGGCGTTTATTTTTGGATTTGCTGGTAGCAAATTACAGGTTACATTCATTTAGGCACTCCTTTGTTTGCGCTTCTTTCTTCTGTTGCTTTTGTTGGCTGGAATTTTGTTCAACGTGGTTTAGCTTCTTGTTGTTGCTTAAGAAGCATTTGGTACTGCAGGCGGAACAAGTTTCATTGTTTGCCGCACGCTAACAGTAGACAAGAAATTTATACAGAATGGAAAATAAAGCGGTTTGATTTCGTGTGACGACTGCCTTAATTTCCTCTTGCAATTAATTGCCTGGAGTAAGCGATTTGTAAAAGCCATTGTGGAGGCGCCACGTGTAAACGTGCGTCACTTAACCCCATTTAAGCTACTGGAAAGAGAATCGAATTGTTCCTTTTTTTTGTTGTGGAAAATAACTGAATAAAAATTATGGATGGGTCACATTATGGAATGGCAAGTTATATGTTTGTATACTTTTTTAAAAGTTATTTAAATTTAAAGTTTGATAAAATGAACTGATGTCTTTCTTCACATAATATAAACAAAGCTACTAATTAGAACGTAAAAATTGTGTAGAAGGTTAATTTGTAACAATTCAGCTTAAAATAAACACCATTGCCATACTTCTATATAAAATTTAGTGTTATGACCAAAAATATAGCCTTATTATAAACATAAGGATTTGCTATTATGTTTTAAAAGTGATTTAGTACAAGTGACCGCTACAGCTGACTCGAATGAATTTCAGCCGACAGTCTGAACTTTCGACCAATTTTGCAGCAATTGAGGCCGTATGTCAACAATAACGCGCCAAATATAATAAATAATATTATCTGCGTAGACAAGCAACTTCACATAACGCCACAAAAAGTAGTGCAGCGATGTTAAATCTCACTATATTGGAGGACACGCCACAGACCTACAAAGCGCTCACCAAAAGTCTTTCAATAAATTGATAGTTTCGTTGGCTGTATGGCATGTAGCGCCATTTTGTTTTGACGAAAGGCCATTCAAATCAACATCCACCAGTACAGACACGAACAAGTCATTAATCATGGCTCTATACTAACATCTTATGGACCTACATTTTTTGTGCACGCCTACGTAGACCCCAGCAAGTCTCCCGTGGACACCTGGGGGTCCACCTGGACCACTTTGGGAATCACTGCTCTATAGCGTTAACTGTAACATTATGGCCGGCTTCATTTTTGAAGAAATATGAACAAATTATTCTCTCTGCCCATAGAGCACACGAAACAGTGGCTTTTGAGGATGTAACGGCGTCTCAACAATGACTTTTAGATTATTATAACTCCAAATGCCAAAACACCAAAAGTGACCTTTATCACAGAACAAAAAAAATTTTGTTTTTTTTTTAAAAGAGCATCGGTGGTCATCTAATTTTAAACCTATTAACTGAACATTGTTCTGGAGTAAGTCTGTTCATTATGAAATGGCAAACCAAAGTGAGTGTAAATCAGTATAGTGTTGCTACATTAAAAACCATACTTAACTAAATACGCTCTTTATATGGACTCAGTCCGCGAAAGACGGATGGATTTTATGAGAACTTTTTTCACTTCTTTAATTATCTGAATAGTAGGTCATAAGAATTGGTAGAATAGAAGTATTATTTGAAATCATAAAAAAATAATAATAAAATATATATAAAAAAAAAAAAATAGAGCCCAAAACCGATTTTAAAAAAGCTTCAAAAACATAAAGTTTTAAATATATATTTACAAACACCTGGGTCAAAGACAGTAGAAAATTTCTGAGTAGACTTTGCTCTTTTATTAATTTGAATCCTTTCTATATAAAATACGATCATTTTTAACCCTTAAAAATGCAATATCATTTGCCATTAACTAATTTAAATTTGGCTATATCTGCATATCTTTTTGAATAACAGAAGTAGAAAATTCAAAAGTTCCACTTTTCCTCAGACAAATTTCCAATATCTCTTCACGGCAGCCTTTAAGAGCAAAAAAAAAAAAAATATTTTGAACGGCAATTACTCGGCCCTCCATAAACTATAAATTTCATTCGTCGTACAGCAATGGACGCCAAAGACCGCTAAGCAAATAAACGTAATAGCAAAAGCAAATTGCAAGCAAAAATATCTGCAAATTCCACTCACATATGAAGTTGGTCCAATAAACCTTGACTTTGGCCACTGCAGTCGTGCATTTTCTGCATATAGCCATCGTAAACAACTATTTGTAATATTCTGCACTCAACCTGTTTCAACAGCGCTGCGCAAACGTCTAGTGGTACGAATGCAACTTGCTACAGCGATGGTAGCTTGTGCGCTTACGCATAGGCGCAAACATTAAAGCTGCAAACCAATGAACGAATGTGCATTGGTATGTATGTATTTATATTTGCACGACTCTGTGCTTTTGTACGATTACACGGCTATCTCACATTCGGAACGTGTGTATGTTTTACGCCGCCAATAAACTTCGTGGTCATTCAACACACACAGCTGGCGGTCGTCTTGCATCAAGATAATTGCCTTAAAACACAAATCGGTCAGTTAGACATACGCTTGGTTCGTTGATTGCTTGCCGATGGCCGTTGGTCATTTAAGTCAGCGAAGACGTCGCTCAGCCGTTGGTACATTGACTTAAATAGCCTCTGCGAATGCAAAATCATGCACTCTCAGTTGCACATCACTGTAGTCTTACATTGCTCGCACAAAACAAAAAAAAAAAACAAAAAAAAAATTGGAAAAATAAAAACCGCGTGAGTTATACGCACATTTGACCCGCAAGTCGCGCCATTTGTGGCACAAAAATTGCTGATGGCACGCACTCACGCATGCGCGCACACACTGAGAAATGCAAAAAACTTTAGCAGTGTGTCTGCACAAAGTCGCATACATACGCCTGTGGGCAAATTAAAAAATTTTGCCGCATTTATCGACGCTCCTTCGCGTTAACTGTAAACCAGGCTACGGTGTTCGGTTGCAATCGTTAATGCAGCAGATAAGGTTAATTGATTATGAAAATGGCAACGGTTTACAATCCGCTTGTCTGCATTTCAGTCGACATTTTGGCCTCGGCAACACACATACGTCCCCACACACACACACTCATATGCATGTTCATGTGGCATAAATAAGCATGCTGCATGCCACATGCTGCATGTGAAATGCTGTCCAAACTGAGCAAAGATATTAACATGGCTTACACATACGTACATGTATGTATGTATATATGCATGTAATTGTATATGGAGATTTGGTATTTGTGAAAACAGGTCAAATGGAAGTATTGAAAATTACATTTATAAAACCCCTGTAGGGATATCAAGTGGCTTTCTACCTTTTATATCAGCAATAATGTTTTTACTACTCGGTAAAGTCAATTACTGTCTGATGGAATTTAATGTGAATATGGTAGCTATAAACAAGAAAAGACGTTACCTTTGGCTGCACCAAAGCTATAATACCCTTCATGATGTATTTCTTAAGACATTAAATACTAATAGATTGGATTCATTTTGATCGCTCAGTTTATATAGCAGCTATATGCTATAGTCAACCGATCTGAAGAATTTGTTCGGCGACTGCTGCATTTTCTTCGACAGTTGTACGTGCCAAATGTTGTGAAGATACCTTGTGAAATAAAAAAAAATTTTCCTTGCTTGATTCTAATCAGTTAGGTTCTATGGCAGCTATATACTATAGTGAACCGATCTGAACAATTTTTTCGGAGAATGTAGCATTGTTTTAGACAATACTCCTTGTCAAATTTCGTATAGATATCTTGGCATATTAAGAAGATTTTCCTATAAGGATCGATCAGTTTTTATGGCAACTATACCATATAGTGGTCCGATATCGGCGATTCAGACAATTGAGCAGCTTCTTAGGCAGAAAGCGACGTGTACAACATTTCAGATCGTTAACTCAAAAACTATGCGAGTAGTTCACGTATATACAGAGAGACAGACAGATGAACATGGCTTAATAGTTTAGCTTCTCACGCTGATCATTTATTTATATAGTACTTTATAAAGTCTCCGATATTTCGTTGTGGGTATAGCAATTTACATAAGGAAGATTTTCTTGTACAATGCATACATATACTCTATTTGCTCTAGATTGGATTAATTTTTTGGTTTGGAAAGAAAAATTTTACACAATTATACAAATCCTCCGAAAAAATAATTATAAAGTTTCCGCTAGTTGGATTTAAAATCTAATTTTTTGGAATAGCATTGCAATATTTTTCAAAATATATGGTATAATTTTGCCAACGAACCTACGAAGGATAGCTTAACAGTTATAGCACTGATGTCAAATTCCATGACTTAGATGGAGAATTGACAGACTTTATTCACCTTACTAGAGTAATGCTTTCACGCACTGTGAGTTTTATTACAAGATCCAGCTAGAAACATATATCATTGTGAGAAACCAACAAGTAGATAATCATCTTATATTTTGAAACAATATGGACGTATATAACGTTCTGCACGCAACCTGCACAAGAAAATAGTTTGGTTTTACTGAATACAAATGAGCCTGAGGAGTTTTTCTTTTAGTATTTTTCGAACCCCAAATTCGTCATTGCTTGAGATAATTTGTCGATAAGAATGTAAGAGCAAGTTTGCCACAAGAGCACGAGTTTTAGAAATAAATGTCCACGTTTTTTAAAATTGTATTTCTTATAAAACTATGCCTTACAATTTTTGAGAATATCTGAGCGTAAATGTTAAACACATTTATTTATTTTGACACCTGGATTGACAGCTAGTTTGACAGTTATACCCCAGAAAACTTAGTTCGAACTTTGCCCTACTTACACTTTTCGCTTAAATGCCTCGGTTTTAAGAAAATAATGAAGAGAGGTAAGACTTTAAGAGTTGTTTGATTTCTTTTTCTAGAGCCTTCTTTAATAATTATTATGATATTTATGTGAACTATGTATATGATATATTTATGTCTGTTAGTTGTGAAAATAAATAAAATTATATTTATAATTATATGCAAACAATTAAAATATAACGCTATTTTCCACCATCTATTTTCAGTTTGTGGTCGTCGCATGTTCCCCGAACCGCGCATTGTGGGTGGCTCGAATGCTGCTTTCGGACGTTGGCCTTGGCAGATATCTCTGCGACAGTGGCGCACCTCGACTTATCTGCATAAATGTGGCGCAGCGTTATTAAATGAAAATTGGGCCATTACAGCGGCGCATTGTGTGGAAAAGTAAGTTTGCAATTATAACAATTAAATGAACTAACCGAAAAAGATTCTACATGCATAAAAATACATTATTGTTGTCAGTGTACCGCCATCTGATCTCTTGCTGCGTATGGGAGAATACGATCTGGCGGAGGAGGAGGAACCGTACGGTTATCAGGAGCGACGTGTGCAAATTGTGGCCTCTCATCCACAATTCGATGCGAGAACTTTCGAATATGATTTGGCGTTACTGAGGTAAGTACAGAGAGGTGTACTTAAAATGGAGTGAGTTGGGATTATTAATATTGCTTATATAAGTTTTCGTGTACTAAGAAAGACGAATAAAAATAATCTGAGTACATAGGCAGCTGTAGCTATTTTAGGAATTTTCAGAAATATTTTGTCGAGAGTTTCGATAACAATCACACATTCGAAGATATGGCCACGAACTGTTTTAAAATTGATTCGAAATAGAGAAAAAAAACAAATTTTACATAAAACATTTTTCAGACTTAAGCGCGAACCACCATGAAGGTAGTTAGATGTTATTTATTTGTATCAGTATCATAGAGTTTTGAATGTTAAGAAAAAATAGAAAATTTTTTTAGAAAATTTCCGAATAGAAATGACACGGATCGGCAAACTATATAAAATATTAGAAAAGGTTCAAAGCCCTAGAAACTATATTTAAGTTTTAATTATTTTAATTTAAATTTATTGTGGATAAGTAATATTTTCCAAAATGTCTGCAAATTAAAAAAAAAAAAAAACTTTTCTTAAATTATTCGGCGGGTTTTTAACGAAAAACTAGTATAGAATAGAGTTGCCACCTATTAAGAAGTTAACTTGAAAATATTAAAATGTGTCAAGGATAAAGTGGCTAAATTTGATTAAAAAAGTTGGCTGGTCTGAAATGTAGAAAAAATTTTAAATAGAGTTGCCACTAATCGAAAAAATTATAAATAAACTTAAAATTTGTGTGTATATAACGAACTTAAAAAAGTTCTCCGACAAGTGTTCGGAAGGTTTTCAAGCTAAACATATCTATAAGTAGAGTTGCCACCTTTAAAAAAAATGTAATTGAAAATATGAAAACATATCCAAACATAATGCGATTTATAACGTGCCGGCTCGACGGCACGGCAATTTTCGGAACAGAGCTGCCACCTATGAAAAAATTAAAATTTTTGCAAAAATACTATGAAACCTTTGTAGCATATATTAAGTTTTAAAAAGCTCTTCGAAAGTTATTTGCAAAGTTTTAAATATAGTAATTTATATTATAATCATATTTCTTATCTTATCAGAGCTCCATTTCTGCTATTCTTTCAAAAATAAGGCCAGTTTCCACAATTCCATAATCACTTTATAATTTTTCACACACTTTCAGATTCTATGAGCCAGTAGTCTTCCAACCCAACATCATACCGGTTTGTGTGCCCAACAGTGACATCGATTTTGTTGGTCAAACGGCATTTGTCACCGGCTGGGGGCGACTATACGAAAACGGCCCGCTGCCAAGCGTGTTGCAAGAAGTTGCTGTGCCAGTCATCAACAACACAATCTGTGAGTCTATGTACCGTGTAGCCGGTTTCATTGAACACATACCACACATTTTCATCTGCGCGGGCTGGAAGAAGGGCGGCTATGATTCTTGTGAAGGTAAGAAAAAAATTGGAAAATTTACGAAATTGTATGATATTTCTAATAAATTAAAAAAATATATATTTTTCATGTAAAAAAGGTGACTCTGGTGGTCCAATGGTGCTGCAGCGCGAAGACGACAAACGCTTCCAGCTGGGCGGCGTCATCTCTTGGGGCATTGGCTGTGCGGAGGCCAATCAACCGGGCGTTTATACGCGCATCTCCGAGTTTAGAGATTGGATAAATCAAATACTGCAGTTTTAAGGCAAACAAAAAACACAACGATTATACCTATACCTAAATACATAACTATGTTTGTATTGTATTTATAGAGTAGCGAAGATTTTAGTATTTAGTATTTAAATATTTTTTTTATTTTATTAGTTTAAACGACTACACAAAACAATAAATTTCTCCTTCTCTCTAAAGCACACTCAGTAACGCCCAGTTAATAGAAATTTTACAGCTACAAGCAAAACGGTAACGGTAAATGAAGAATGCATTTAGTAAATATTTACAATTATCACTAGGTCGCCACACACTGGCATTTATGTACGTGTGTGTGTGAAATATTAAGAAAAAGCAAAACTCGTGCTTTGGTTCTAGCCAATACAAACAACGGTGAGCCGCTTCCCCACCCATTCAGCTTAACAGCTATAATCAAAGCAACGACTTGCCTGAATTTTCGTTTCCCCTTCATAGATGGACACAAATATCCAACAACAATAAGCACATGCGTTAAAAAAATTTTAGTTTTAAATAAATAAAATTAATAAATATGTGATTTTTCCTGCAAAATATTCATAAAATCATAATTTTATAATGAACATTTTTTTTAGACAAGCATAAACTTACATACAAAAAAAAATCTTAAACAATTTTTACGCGCATTTTTTTGCATTTCACGGCTTTTAAAAAATTATTTTATATAAATAAAATAACATAGTGTTAACAAGCATATTGTCTATTTATATACATACATATATTTCATTAGTTATATGTAAAATAATAACAAAAATATTACCGTTAGCATTATTCATATTGTACATACATTGATATTTAAATAGTTGTTAATTAATTGAAAAAAAAAACAAACAAAAAAAACTCAAAACTGTATTTATCTAAATTAGTTTAGTTATGACTTTATGTTAAGTTAATATATACATTTGTAATAAAATAATATATATTTGTAACAATTTAATCAACTAAGTTATTAATATACAAAATATATTTGCAATAATGTACTTTGTACTTAGTAATTTTATCTGAATTGCATTTTTTTGAAAAATGTTTCTAAAAACAGATTTCAGTCATAACTCACATGCGTGTTATTTATTAATTAAAAAATATTATAAAACAAAACAAAAACACTTAATACGATTAATTTGTAAGTTGAAAGGTTAAGTTTAGTTGCATTTACTCATTATTGAATATTATTTAAATTATTGCAAATAAAGTGAAAAACAAATAAAAAAAAATTTTATTTTAAATTATTTTTTTATTTGTGATTTTTGAAAGAAAAAAATAAGGATTTTTAAAAATATTAAAATAATTTTGCTTTAAAAATATTACTGGAAACGGCAATCATCGAATTATTGAGAGAAAAACGATTTGTTTGGCTTAAATCAATATTTTTCGTACTAACATATGTGAATCTTTCTAAAACGCAAATTATCAGTGAAGTTGCTAACTGAAATTAAATCAATATTATGTTAGCAGGTGACAAGCGTACACTTCAAAAATCTTTCAAAAAATTATTTGCGTAATAAAAAACAAAAAAAAAAATATCAAAAAAAAAAATATTTTGCCATTTAGAGAAAAATGCAATATATAATTTAAAGTATAATTAAAAGTTGAATAATTTTTATCATATTTCGATAGATTATACCTTTAAAAATAATATACAAAAATTTTAAATCGATATCAAGAATGGGTTTGTAGTTAAAGCTTTCTAAATTGTACTCGTTCAGCTTAATTAACACCATCGACTTATCTTTACACGCGCTTTTCTCAAAACTTGATTTTTCAAATTTGCTTGCATGATTACTGGGAGACAAATGAACCGATCATTATCAATATTTTTTCCTCTGTTTTCTAGTTTTTTGATTTGATAAAAAAATCGACATTTTGGGAAAAATTCAACTTTTTTTGAAAAGCTGCCATTTTGTCAATTTTTGATATTTTTCGACAGCAGCAATTGAGGACTATATATATTTTACTATATATTCTCAAAATATGTATAAATATACCCTTGATAGTGTAAAACAATTGAACATCGTAAACGCTGTTTTTTTCATAAATTTAGAAAGTTTATTACACTAAGCGTACCCCTGAAAATTAGCCGTCTTTAATTCACCATTTCTATGCTGGCTATTTTTGAACGCAGTTGTCTTATCAAACAAATTACATGTCAACATGGCAAAAAAGTTATCGAGTTGAAATTGCTATAAGAGAATGTATAGATACCACTTTAAAGATAAGTCTTTGCAGACGAAAGTTTTGCTTTACACATTTTATACCAGTTTTACCATTGTGAATAATGGTTCAAATGACAATTGAATGTCAAAGTAGACGATTACCAAAAAAAATTTTTTTTTTTATACAGCTTAAGACTTAAAATCTATAATATATTTTTGGAATTTCTTCACAAAGAATAAAGCGATACATTGCGCATACGCCAGAAGACTTGCTAGGGTATGATTGCACCGCAATTGCCGCGTGTTTCTTTGAGCAACTGTTACACTTTGTGCGACTCATTCCTCTTCGACGCCTGCTGAATTAAATATTGCTAATATTTTGAACACCATAAACATATATACATAGTCACGCAGTTGTGTGGCAGCTCTGTTCCAAAACAGTTTATTTTGTGTATATCGTTCTCTAGTCGTCATATTTCCAAACACATTATACAAATTAATGAATCCTTGCTTTCTGAATCCTTGCTGATCTCCGATTAATATTACCCCCCAATTCCGATCAATTTGTGCCATAACTTCATATAATTAGTTGAGAATATTTAACTTAGGTCAATTTGTAAATTGTAATTAAAGATACCTCTTAGGAAGAAGAGAAGAGGCTTCGTAGCTACTACGTTACAAGGAAAGGGATATTTTTGCAACACTAGAAGAAAGTTTCTAACCATTATCTCGTCCCGACGAATTCTTTAACAGAAAATGTATGATAAAGTATCTGAACATTATTATTACGGGCCACTAATTTTTGCATAATTCGTTAAATAGGCGGCATATTTAATAATATTATATAAGAAAACGTCGTCGTTTATTTTTGATGAACGTCTTAGGGTATTAATGAAGCTACTAACGAAGGCAAAGAAGGTCCAACTGTGTTCATTGAAATTAAGTATATCCTTGTAGATCAGACAAAAAGTATTTTGAGGTTAAGTATTTCTTGAATAATTTCTGTTTTATAGTGTAATATTTTGTACAGTTAAAACACAAAAAATATACAAACACAGGGTGACAAATATATTCAATTACTGTTAAGCCAAAAATTACGCCTATAAATAGATCAGCAGGTAAATTTTAATAAAAGGGATATTATTTCACTAAAATTTCCTTTTTTTGTTCAATTTGTATTTTACAAAGCCTAAAAGCATGCTTTGAAATTTTGTAAACAGATGTTTCAGCCCCCAAGGTGATAACACATGCGCTGCCATCGTATGCGAATGAGTTTATTAAGTTCAAACAAATTGGAGAAAAACTAAAAACAAAAAAAAAACAAATACTAAAATGTATAATAAAAACAAATAAAAGTACAAAAATTGAATACAAGTCAAATATTTAATAAAGATAATTTATTAAGCAAAATGTTTGCCTTAAAATCAAAAAGAGTTAAATAAATTACAAGTAAAAGTAAAAATGTCAAACAAAGAATATAAAATAACGAAACAAACCCAAAATATATAAAAAAAAAACATTTGTCGCTGGTGAAGTGACCAAGTTAAGAAAATTAAAATTCATTGCATGTTTCACCGTGGCGCATGCGTTTGGACGCGGCTCGGCAACTGCCAAAAAAAAGTAGTTTAGGAAGCTCAGTGCGATTGTGGAAACTGCGTGTTGATGTCGCTTAGAAGCAACGCGTTTCTTGAGGCTTTCTACTGCATAGGCGAAAAGGAAAAAGTAAATAAATAAATAAAAATGTTAAATGTAAAGTTTAGAAATGAAGTTTGCTGGGGCATTCCCCAAAGCAATATTGTATATATGAGTGTATGTAGCTACTTGATCGACGTGTGCAATACGTTATGTGAATTTTAAACATTTTATTAACTTAACCATGGATTTTTAATATTTTCTCTTTTCGCAGTTTTACAAAATGTATTACTTAGTCCTTGCCAGAAACACTAAAAGCAGTGGCAAAATAAAAACCATCAGTTTTTCCACTTAAATATCTAGCGCAGCCATATATGCCTATATATCTATAAGTATGTTTGTCTGTATGTCAACTTCATCCCACACACTCGTCCAATATGCCGTTACTAACCGCAATCATTGAAGATAAAGCATAATTTAACAAATCTGTTGCCGTTATTATCGACAAGCGAACGAAGAAGCAAAAAATAAAGCATAAAATACTTCAAACCCACAATTTTTTCAGCTTAACTACTTTGATTTTTCAAATGACCACTTGGACAGCGAAACTGCGAACAAAACTACGATGATTGACTAAAAAACACAAAATACAAAAAAAAAATAATAATAATAATAATAACAACAACAAACTTGAGTGTGAAAAAGACTTTCGCTTTTCATGTCAGCGAGTGAGCGCATCATTTTCTTTGACCGCTGCGAAGAGCAATTGCAAGCATAGTACTAAAGTGCATATGTACATATGTAAACTAATAGTCAAAATTATTATTTTTTTGAATTCACCTTAAATCCAGTTGTCTCAATGCCTTATTCTTCTTAACTACTTATGCGACAAATATTCATTTATTTTTAAATAAGTAATATATTTATTTTCTAAAAAGTTGTTTTGGTTTTGTTTTCACACTCATTTCCAATGTCTCCAAAGAATTTACTAGCAAACCACTTGTCTTGCTAATCTGGAGAAAAAGGTAAGCCAAGTAAATTATTTTTGACGGTAAACCAATACTTTCGGCTTTATGACCCGTGCACCGCAATTATGTTAAAGGGTATACGCCTAGCCATGAATGCTAAACATTTTTGTATTTTTTTTTTTAAGATTTTATATGTAATACTCGCCTGGTTTGAAATAAAGAAAAGAAAAGGTAGCACAATTTGAAAATTTTCCGTCCAGCGGAGATTACAAGAGATAAAAAGTTTATGATACTTGATTGAAAATATTTAAGACAGAAAAATATAGTTAAAAAAATTTATTATTTGAAAGATTTTTCTGAAAAGAGTTGCCAACTGTATATAATTTAAAGTTCAAAAAAGGTTTGAGTCAAACAAATTATTTCAATAACGGTACCAAAACACAGTAGTTCAAAAAGATAACTAGTTTTACATATATTTGAAAAGGATTGCCACTGATTTAACTTTTCTAAATTATACTGATATCCAAAATAAAAATATTTGAAGCAAATTCGAGAAATTTTTTACATATTTTCGATAAGGTTAGCCAATAGAATGATAAAAGCTGAAATAATTACTCGTAAAATTAAAAGAGTTTAATGCAGTAACCACAAACGTTTAAATTTTAGGCAAACAGTGGATTTTTATTTTGATCGTAAGACAAACATTCTTTTACTTATTTAAAAAATAATTGATTTAAAAACTAGTAAAATTAAAATTGGAAAACAACAAATTTTAGGTTTGAATTAATTGATTTGTACTTGAATTTACTATTGTTTTAAAATTGAACTATTTCGGTATAAATTGAATTCAATTGAACTAAATGTTAAAATATTTGTATACGACGTAACTTATATAAAAACAAGTAAGGAAGGGCTAAGTTCGGATGTAACCGAACATTTTATACTCTCGCAAAGTCAAATGGTATAATCGTTTGAGATTTCTTTGTGGATTGGCTGGTATTTTCGGTTGGGGTCCACATATTTAGTATTTAGGGGCTGGAACAGTTTTGGTTCGATTTAGACAATTTTTGGTCACAAGGTGGCATGCC